ACTCCCACCAGCAGTGAATAAGGGTTTCCAATCTCTCCACAACCCCGCCAGCATTTATTGTTTGCTGCTCTGTTGAACTTTGCCATTGTTGCTGGGCTGAGATATCTCATAGTTATTTGGAGTTCTTTCTTGATGGAATGAAAGAACCTCTGTGCTGTCTTGATTTAAGCCTGGCAGGATGGCTACAATCCCTGTGTTAGTATTCTGCATATCATATTTACATTGTTCTCATTACATTGTTAGGAATATGTCCAGTCCTCTTCTTTTTTTAATTTTTAAATTTATTTTCATGTGCCATCAAATCGGATCCAACTGGCACAGGAGGAGATTGCCCCTCCTTCTGTAGCAGAGCATTTGATGAATTTGAACTGTATGCCTTCAAGATTGCAGTGCAGCTTCTTTGTCACTAGGCCACCAGAGCTTCCTTTTGGAATCTGTCCAGTCAGTCCTCTTGATGAGTCACAGACATAGCCCTACAAACCATGGAGGGAGAGTTTCAAAGACAGTTGCTAGAAGAGCTGTATTAAGTAGTCCACCGTAGCCCTGAGAATACCAAAAATCATGGTCAGGCCTTTAAAAAAAATTACTGTGATTTTTCATCTAAGTTTACAAAGAGATTAGTTTTCATTCATTCACTCATACACATTTTCCTCCCTTCCCCATTCACTTTGTAATGCTTTTCCTGTTCCGGGTTGTTAATTGCCATGTATGTAACATCTAATTGTCCATTCTTTTCAGATTGTCCTTCCCCTCACCTATTCCAGTGCAGTGTTTATTCTCTCTCCATGTTTTTCCTACCTTCCCCCGCCCCACCCCCTGTATCTGTCCTGTTGTTAGAGCAATGGTTGTAAGGAGTGGGGGTTTTTTTTGTGACTGAAGTATTTCACTCAGCTTCATGTTTTCCAGACTTGTCCATGTTATGTCATGTTTTATAAGTTTGTTGTTTTTTCAGTGCTGCATAATATTCTGTATTCCTTTGTCCATTTGTTTGTCAATGGGCACTTGGGCTGCTTCCATCTCTTTGCTGTCAGATGGGCTTGAACCACTAACCTTCAAGTTAACTGATCACAAATCATCTGTGCTACCCATACATAAACATTCTGTCAGAGTACTCACTGAGCTCAGCTCCTGGAACCAGCCAGGCTGGAATAGTTGAAGATAATGACTAAAGTTTAGAATAGAGTCCCTCAATCTTGCACTATTGCCATGTTTAGACTGAACAGTTCTTTGCTGTAGGGAGCTATCCTGTGCCTTTTAGGATATTGAACAGTCTCCCTGGCTTTCTTACTAAATACCAATAGCAATATTCACCTTAGTTGGGACAACCAAAGCCGTTTGCAGATGTTGAGGTATTCTCAGGTGGATAGCTGAGAACCTCTATTCTGTGTCAATTATTTTGAGGACCATAAGCTACTCCACAGTGTCTCCTGATTCTATTTTCCTGTCAGGGAAGTGCTCTGAGATAGATAATGCTATCTTCCTCAGATTTTATAAGGATATAAGTTATTTTTTTCAGTAGGGAACCTGCCTGGGTGCTACTCTGGAAGTTCTCCCAGAATTGAGAGGCCTGTTTTTCTTGTAGCGGAGAGGGTGGCATGGATGGGACTACAAGGATGTCTTGGACACTTTGTCCAGCCACAGCCCTCTGTGTGATGACAGCTGTGGAGATTATGACACGTCTGGAGCAAGAGAACCTGCAACCCACAGGATGTGAAGGAATACCTTTGTCCCAACAGAAATTTAGATCTAGGTTCAAGGTGAGGCCACCCTCTTCAAGGCAGACGTTGACAAGAGGTATCATTATCCTTGTGGTATCAAGATTACAGCAAAGGGACTAGAATTGAAGTAAGCTAAGTTAGAATCCTACCTGTCTTCTATGCTTTATGGCCCTGGGCAAATCTTTTTTTTTCAGTCAGTGACTTTATTGCTTTTACAAATTAGTGGTCACTCATCTTATTTGAACATTCTCTCTTTTTTTTTTAAATAGCATTCCGTTTATTACAAATATTTAGTATTGGCCTCCCATATTTTCTCCCTTTTGTTTTTATCATAATTATGTTATCATCTAGATGAGCATCCTTTATACACAAACAAATAAAATAAACAAACTCAAAGAAATACTTTCAAAAATCTCCATATGATCAGAAGATTCAGGTTGAATATTCCTTGAAAGTTTGTTTTAAAAAAAATAAAAATAAAAAAAAAGTTTGTTTTATTGTCACATTGCCACAGGCAAATCTTTGAGCCTCTGATTCTTGTGAAGTAAGGAGACTTACCTACATTTGTCTTTCAGGGTTAAGAGCAGTAAGAGACTCTTTGCCATCGAGTCAGAACCAACTCAGAGTTGATCCTCCCCTAGGTTTTCTGAGGAGACTGCCCATCCTCCCATTTAGCAGCTGGTGGATTCAAACCACCTGCTATGGGGTTGGCAGTGCAACTCCCTACCGACCAGGTCACCAGAGCTCCCTGATGATAAGGTAGACTGTTTCAGATTCTGGCTCTGCCACTTTATTAGCTACATGATCTTGGGCAAGTTATTCTCTGAGCCTCATTTTCCTTAGAGGCTAGTGACAGATTGTCCCAAAGATGAATATAATAATAAATGGCAAGAACATCATATGGTGCTGGCACATAGTCATTGAGAACTACCTCATAGCTGACCCTGCAGCAGGCTTTCAGAGGCAGTACTCACATGGGAGAAAATGTCCATCTGGCACATAGTAGGCACTTAATAAATGTAGCTACTATGACAATGTAGGAGCACTGATGATTTGACATAGTGGTAAGGAGTTATGGGTTCGACTCTGCCAGCTACGAGGGAGAAAGTTGAACAGTCTCCTCTCATGCAGTTTACTGCTTCTGAAAACTCTCTGGAAAGTCAGTTATGAGTTCCAAATCAGCAGCATTACTCTGTGATGTACCTGATGAGCATGTCTGGATTATGTGTTGCTACTACACAGATAGGTGACTTTAACAAACGAAATCTATTTTAGGACATTTTGGGAGTCGACATTCAGGGTGCCAGCTCCAGGGAAAGGTGTTCCTCTCTCTTGATTCTGGGGAAATGTCCTTGTTTATGTTAGCTGCTTTTCCGAGGTGGTCTTTCTTTTTTTAAAAAAAAAATTGTTTGTGTGTACTGTCAAATCGGATCTGACTGGCACAGGAAGAGATTGCCCCTCCTTCTCCAGCAGAGCATCTGGTGGATTTGAACCTCATACCTTTGGGGTTGCAGTGCAGCTTCTTGCCACTAGGCCACCAGAGCGCCCCTTGAGGTGGTCTTTTCTTATGATTTGGTCTCTTCACTCACATGCTTGTTTAATTTCTTGTAATTTTCAAGATACCAATTTAAGTTAAAGTCTACATTAATATTGTCTCATTAACATAATAAAACAGAGTCTGAAATGAGATTATAACCACAGATACACAGGTTAGAATTTACAGTACATGCTTTTGAGACATGACTCAGTCCACAACAGACCACCTTCAGCAAGCATCACAGAGCAAATAGAAGATATAGAAGAAGCCAGAGGAAATCAGGGGGTTTTCATTTTATTATTTTTTTGTATGTACATCATCAAATCAGATCCTACTAGTACAGGAGGAGATTGCCCCTCCTTCTCCTTCAGAGCATCTGGTGGATTCAAACTGTGTGCCTCTGGAATTGAAGTGCAGTTTCTTGCCACTAGGCCACCAGAGCTCCCTTCTCCAGAGGAAATTAGGAATCTACACAGGTCCTAGTGCTGAGTCAGCAGACTGAAAACAAATGCTATCCTCAGGCCTGATCTATCTAGGTCTATGAACAGTCTGTTTCTGTGCTGTGGAAACAGGAAGGTCACGTTGTTTCTGCACTGTCTGGGTGATGCTGAGCACTCAGGCAGTGGATGGGAAAAGTAGAGTTGACATCCTTCCGTAGGCTGAAAATATCCCCACAGTTGGCCTTCATTCATGCATCCAGGAGATGCTTATTCATACAGGTTCCGTGCTGGGCACTGAAATTACACCAGTGAGCAAAACAGATCCAGTCCTGCCCACGTGAACCTGACAGTGTTGACAGCACCACCCATTGAAGCAGAACACAGCCAAATCACTAATGTAAGGTTTCCTATTAGCCATATTAATAAAAACCATGAGAAACAAGCAGAATTAATGCATTTACCCTAATGTGGTTAAAACATTAACATTTCAATTGAAGCTTCACATGCTCTTTTTTTTATACAAAGTATTGGAAATCTGTCGTGTATTTTCCACGTGTAACACATGTCTGCCAGGACATTTAAAAGTTTAGTAGTAGGCAGCCGCAATACCCGACAGCACAGATCTACCCTGAGATAGACATTAATATTAACATTCCTTAGGCATGATCATGAGCACGCTAAATACCACACAGAGAGCATGAGACGAGAGATCGTGCAGAGACCTGGTTTGTGTGGCAGCAGGGAGGGCCCTCTTGAAGAGGACACTTGAACTGGGTGTACAGGAAATGTCAAGGTGAAGATGAGGGTGGTAAGGGAGGGTCCCATGCTGGGAGCAGTTCATGCTAAGACTCAGGAATCATAGAGCTACTTTCCCATAGATTCCAACAAAAACTCAAAACTCACTGCCATTGAGTCAGTTCATATTCAGAGCAACCCTCCAGGGTCCTGAGGCTGTAAATTGCTATGGAGGAGATTGCCCATCCTTCTGTTGGAACTGCTGGTGGATTTGAACCATCAGAGACATGCAGCTTTTGGGTTAACAGCTCAACTCCATGGACTGCACCACTAGAGCCCGCTGATGTAGTCTGTTTTCAGCTCCCCGCAGACTACAGGTATGAGTTGGCACCACTAGCAGCCCATGTCCTGCCGGAAAACTACTCTCTTTGCAGGTGGAACACAAATTCCTAAGGATTCTCTGGGATGATCTGAGTTTGGAGGATTGATTGACAGAGTCAAGGAGAGGCTGGGAAATTGGATGGTGGGAACTTTGAGAAAAGGATATAGGGGAGTCTTCATTATTCTCAGAGGGTCTCCCCAGACACCCGAGCACCCACACGCTTTGTGGATGATGAGGAACTAGCGTATGTGATCCAGCGGTACCGGGAAGTCCACGACATGCTCCATACTCTCCTGGGGATGCCCACCAACATCCTGGGTGAGTGCCACCAAGCCAGCCGCCTCGAGTGGGAGGGAGGGGGTGAGAGAAATGAGGCACTCCTGCAGCCTGTCTCCCCAGGTCTCTTCACCTGTCTGCACCAGCCACCGGTTACTGGCTTGGTGCATCATTGCCTTCTTTACCTGGATATCTTGGTAGCACCTCTGGCTCTCCTCTCATCTCCATCCTCATTACTTCTTTATGCCTCGACATTGATGTAGCAGCCTCCAGACACCAGGACTTCCTGCGTCTTTCGGGTCTTCAGCTAACTCCCAGAATCCTAGAATCACTCTGGACTCCTGAGCCAGGCTTTCTGAGTTTCCATCCCTGTTTCCTTCTACTCTTTCTTAGGCTCTCATGTCTACCCTAAGTTGCCCAGCACAGGCAGAGACTGTTACCCCTGCTACTTTGACCCTGCTGAAGGCACAGATAGTCTCTCCTGGTTTCTGCTCACCATTATCCCCACTGTTTGCTGATGCTGGCCCTGCCCTGACTACCTCCCATACCCATTCCCCAGGGGAGATCGTGGTGAAGTGGTTTGAAGCTGTGCAGACTGGCCTGCCCATGTGCATCCTGGGTGCCCTTTTTGGACCAGTCCGGCTCAGTGCCCAGTAAGTCTTCAGGGGGCTGGGAGGCAAGGACAATCTCAGAGGTACCTGGGCTCCAAGACATGGGAAACACACACAGGCCCCTGAGCAGTTCTCAGGAAGCACACATGGAAGAATAGGGCAGGAAGGTCAAGCTCCCTCCCAGGGAGCTTAGAGATGGGAACCAAGGCAATGCCCAGAGCCTGGACATCTCGTGAGTACTTTGAGTCTCTTGAGTCAGGCCTCAGTGCTGGGGCCAAGTATTAGAGACAATTAGAAGACAATGGATTGTTAGTTTCTGCAGTTGGGTAGATCTCAAATTCACTCTGAGCTTTGATATGTTCAAGATGAGCTGTTGTTGTGTACCGTCGAATCAGATACAACTGGCATAGGAAGAGATTGCCCCTCCTTCAGCGGATCATCTGGTGGATTCGAACCACATGCCTTTGGGATTGCAGTGCAGCTTCTTGCGACTAGGCCACCAGAGTCTCAAGATGAGCTTTTGTGCTTCTGTTTTCCTACTTAAAAAATGAGGATAATAACTACCTCCCACATAGGTCTACATGAGATTTAACTGAGAAAATAGGGTATCAAACACTTCACACATATAAAGTGCTCTATTCTCAGGTGTTTTCTCTGCTGTCCCACAGGAACCTGCAAGTGCTGATCTCTGAGCTGATCCCATGGGCAGTTCAGAGTGGACGCAGAGCCCCGTGCGTCCTCAACCTGTACTACGAGCGGCGCTGGGAGCAACCCCTGAGGGCCCTGCGGGAGGAGCTGGGCATCACACCACCCCCCACGGACCTCCGGGGCCTGCACTGAATCAGAGGCCTCTGCTGTCTTCCCCCATGCTCCACGTCCCACACAGGGGAGGGCTCCTTTGCCACAACCTTTGATCCTTTTCTTTGAACACTGACCCTTGGACATCACATATCATAATTTGCCTTAATCATTGTTGAGTAGCCTTGACGGCCTCCCCAAGAGCAAGCTGGCATGCAACGGAGTTCTTGGTGTCCAGGAGCCACCCAAGAAGAGCTAGCTGCACGTGAGCTCACACTGGGATAGCTCTCAGGATTTATTTTTTTTTAAATACCTGTTGTCAGAATTTTCTGAGAGACTGGTATCTCCATGGGATACACCTAATTCCAAAGGCCTCAGAAGAGGAATGCAAGTGTCTGCAGCTGTCTGCTATCTGAATAAAAGCTCCCATCAGGCTAGATGTCTCCTCCTTTTTCCCTCCTGGTTTGCTGATTCCAGTACTGCCTGATTTATGAAACTCTGGGCCTTCCCATGCTAGGGCCAGAAATTTCTCCGTCCTGAAATTGCATAGACAAGGATTCAAGTTCTTAGCTTTTCCATTTAGGAGAAGGTTGTTCCAGGAAGACAGAAACCCTATTCTTCCCTCCTTCCTTTCCCATCCCTGCACACAGTAGGGGCTTGAAATGTTATTGGTTGAAGGAATGGATGCCAGAGCCTATGCTATGCACCCCACCTACAAACTCTCCATCTCAGCCTAAGCAAAAGTTGCTGGGAGCCTCATTTCACATTCATATTCACTAGGGAATCTCCTAGGGCACCACAGCTGAGATGTAGTGCATCCTGTTCAGGAGTACACATGCCCTAGCAGCTGAAGGAAAGTCTCTTCCCCTCACTGCCTGATCCCAAGTGTTGTTATGTGCTGAGGAGTCTCTTTCAACTCATAATGACCCTGTTAACAACTTTGTTCATGAAAGCTGTTAACCCTGTCCTGTCCTGTCCTGTCCTGAGCCATTCTCACTGTCTGCGACACACATGCTCCTTTTACCCAGTCACTGTCAATGCATCTCATCCCGGGTCTTCCTCTCCTCTGTGTCCATCCACCCTTCCAAACATGGTGCCTTCTCTTAGGACTGGTCCCCCCTAACAACATGCCCAAAATATATGACGGAGCTTCAAAATCCTTGCCTCCAGAGAACAACTTGATTTCACCCTCTCTTGGACAGACCTGTTCTGGTTGTTCAATACTCTTTGTTCTCTTGGCAGTTTAATACTCTTCTCCAGCACCACAAGTCAAGGTATCAGATTTTTGGTAATCCTTAGTCTTTGTCCAGCTCTCTGATCATACCAAGTAATTGCAAAGACTATGGCATGGATCAGGCACACCTTAGTCTCTAGGCTGACATCTTTGCTCTTCAGCACTCTGGAGAGGTGTCTGACATCAGATTTTCCTAATCCAATTCATCTTTAGATTCCCTGGCTTCTGGTACCAAAAGAGTTGAGTTTGGACCAGAGAAAGCTGAAATTGTGAACACCCTCAATCTCTTTATCTATAATGATGCTGCCAATTGGCCCAGTTTAGAGAATCTCTGTTTTCTTGATAATTGATCTTCAATCATATTAAAGACTGAAGTCCTTGGCCTTCTGCAGCAGACACTTCAGGTCCTCAGTTTGCTTGATACCATGTTTAGCTAATCCTAAAACTATATTTGGGACACAAAAATAGTTTTTTTGCTCTGAAGGCAGACCTGGGCCTACCACTGACTAGTCATGCACCCTTGCAGTAGTCACATCACCCTTAGGAGCCACTCTTTTTAAAATGTAGAGTAAGAGTAATACACAGTTGTGCTGTATAACAGGCATGGTCCCAGCCCCTATAAAGTCCATTATATGAAAAATTCAAAGTACATAATAGGAGATTGGTGTTAGAACATGCATCAAAACATAACTGCATTATTTTGTTGAAGATGTTTTAGTGTATCTGGAAGTGTTTGGTGTTTTTTTTTATTATTACATCAGTAGGTACACTGTTGTTATGTGCCGTCAAGTCGCTTGCGACTCACAGCGACCCTATGTACAACAGCCCTAAACTCTGCTCTGTCCTGTGCCAATCGCACTGTCTCTGACACTCCCATCCGGATTATCCCAGTCACTGAATCAATCCACCTCATAGAGGGCCTTCCTCTCCTGTGTTGTCCCTCCACCCTCCCAAGCATGATGTCCTTCTCCAAGGACCGGTCTCGCCTCACAACATGTCCAAAGTATGTTAGACGGAGCCTCAGAATCCTTGCCTCCAAGGAGCCACCCGGTTTAACCCTTTCCAGGACAAATCTGACACTGTACTATGATAAATATTAGACTAACTTGTCATTAGAAAGTACCTAACTCTTCCTGCTTACATATATATTACAGACTTGGTAGCTAATTTGTAATCCAGGGATTACCTGTATATAATATGTTTCCACTGTACATAAATAAGCAATACATCATGGAAGTGTTGAGTGGTGTATAATTGTGAGTATCTCAGTATGAGGCTTAGTGTGTGTGTGGTGTGCTTAGCACACAGTTACCCTTAGAAAATGGAAATTGTGGTTTGTCAGAAAGGCCCTTTGAGGCCTCTAAAGTTACTGTGTGTAAGTCAAGCTACAAGTCTTTATCTTGTTTACACCCAGACTGTGGGGACTAGTACAGCTCAGAGGCACTAAGACCAGATGAAACTGAGTATTTATTGGGTCAGCACCTACTGTGGTCCAGATTCACACCTCTTTAATCTTTTAACTCCAAATACCGTTTCCTGTTAAGTCTGGAAACTGAAGTGCTCATATTAGTTTCCTAATACAGTACAGATAGGGTTATGTCAATGGAAAGAAGTCTGCTGTGAGATCAGTCCAAGTTCCATATTCAGCCTGTTCCCTCAGTGATAGAGCCCAGCCTCTCCCTTTCTTGGTTCTCAGAGGTTCTTCACTGCCCCCTACCCCACAAAAAAATGCCCCAAAGTGGCACACTCAGACCTTTACAATTGCTTTTCTTACCACACAGCTCTCGCCTCCATATGTATCCCAATGCATACGGTCACTTCAATCATTTCATAAATACCTTATGGGAACTTCCCATATGCAGATGCTGAGGGTTCAGCAGTGATCAAAGCATCTTGCTTCCTGCCATCTTGGAGTTTAGAGAATTGTGCTGGCCCAGAGCCTTATATGTACTAAGAGCTTCACTTGCATCATCTCAATGAATCCTTACCTAGTGCTGGGGGGTAAGACTATGATGGTCATATTCCCATTCTCCAGATAAAAAACACTGGATACGTGGGGAGAAGTGATTCTCAGTTTCACAGTTGGGACTGGGAGTGTACACCAGATCTGTGTAAATAAAAAGCAATCAAATCATTACAATAACCTGTAAGTGCTTGGTAAAGTACTCATTTGCATGACTGCAAACCCATGCTAATGCTAGTCTCTGATCCTAGAGTGCTTGACCAATTTATGTGCCCATCTAGACTAAACAATTTGAAGATAGCAGTGTTGCTCTCTCTGGTTTCTTTACTTTTCATAGGGAAGAGTGTACTGGCAGGGAGGGGTGGACAGGAAGAAAAGTGCAACAATGAATGAATGGAAATACAAAGTCTCTGTAAATTTTCATTAAAATTAATTTTTAAAAATATTAAAAAAATAGCTCCAAATCCACATTTGTTTAAATGTCACTTTTAATCCACATGAATAAACTTGAAATTGCCTCCCTTCTCGCATCCTTTTAAAAGCTGCCACTAGACTATCCAGCAAAAAAGATTAAGTGGCTCAATCAACCAAAGACAGTACCTGGATGGTCTAACCACTAAGAGAAAAGTTAAAAATAAGAGGCAATCCAGAGGTGCCTCAGTAGAAAAGTCTGGTTATCTACTTTCAAAAAGTCAGCCACTGAAACCCCTGTGGAGCACAGACACAGAGTTAGAATCAACTCAGGGCAATTGGTAATTTATAAAGACAAATAAATGGGGTAACCATGCTATGACCAATTTTTTGGCCAGGAGAGAAGCAAGTTAATTATCTTGAGATCTAGAAACCCAGAGGGCTGGGAAGTTGGCCTAGGAATTGGGCTAAACAAGTGTGACATTTAGATTGGAGAAGTTAACTGGTTTACTGTAGGGCAATAGCGGGATCAAAGTGTAAAGTTATGCATGGTTCTGATCCATGTCCTTTGTGTGGACTTCAAACTGCCGTAAAAACGTGACAGGGATGGGTCAGGATCCAGATGTAGCAACAAAGGTACTAAGTGTATTGTTATTGCAGAAGTTGAGCTGATTCTCAGGGTGGCAGACCTAAGAATACACAAGCTTATAGCAGCTTCAGGTTCTAGAGAACCTTGGTTTTTTTTCAACCTTTTTAACTCCAAAAAGATGAATTTCTGACGTTGTAAATTGCACAAGAGAAGACTGTCATCTTTCTAGGGAGCTGTAAATCAGAGAGGGGCCACCTTTGGTTATTTAGTGCAGCTCTCAACTGACAGAGATCCCTTATAAAGGTAGTGAAGGCCATAAAATATCCGAAAGAAATAAAAGAGGAACTTAAAAGTCAACTCTGGTGGGATTCAAATCCACAACCTTTGAATGGCCACCTTAGACCCAGCTAGAAGTCCATTGCGCTATCCATTGTGCCACACAGTTTCTTCTCTGCTCTACTTCTCCACCTTAAACCGCCCTCTTCTAGGTGGAACTCTGGACTATTGCGAAAAAATCCTGAACTGAGATGCGGCCTCCAGATTCTTTGCTGACAGTGCAGACGGGGATGTCCTCCCTATTCCTGATACCTAGGGGACTCGGTGGTGGGATCAGAAAGCAACCACAAGTGTACTACTCTAGGTGACCTCAGGTGGGAGGGAGGAGGGTGGAGAGTGTGGTTTCCGCCACCAGGCGGGGCTGCGCTGCGCGGACTACAATTCCCTGCGTGCACCGCGGAAACAGCGCCCAAACCTGACCCGCACGCAGGGCTGCCTGAGGCCCGTCGGCGTCGGGCGGTGCTAGGGTGTGTTTCGCGGCCGGCTATGCGGAGCGCCGGCCGTGGGGAAGGCGCTAGAACCTGTGCTGCCTGCCCGCATAGCCGGTTTGGATTGCGGGAGGCGGGCGGGGGAGGAGCGTGGCAGGCGGGCGGACGGGGCGGGGCTGCGGGTGGGGCTGCCCGGGCGGCCGGTCCATGCAGGGCTCAGAGGCGACAGAGCGCTGCTGAGACCTGGATCTGTGCGCCCAGGGGCAGCTGATGCCCTCCGCTCCCCTCACTCGGTTACCGCAGCCAGGCCGCATCTGGACAGGGCACCGCGCAGCGGAGCCGACGCCAGGTGAGCACAGGCCCGACCAGCGAGTCCTTGAGCGGGAGAATGTGCCCGGCCGAGTCCGGGGGAAGTGGTCGAGCCTGCTTCGGGGTGGGGTGGGGTGGGGTCGGGGGCGCGACTTGCCCCTCTAGCTTTAGCTTCGTTTTACTAGCTTTCTAGAGGCGAGGGTGTCCGCGTCACCCGGGATGGGAACCGAAGGGAACTGGTACCTTTGCCATTCCTGCCCTCACCCCATCCCCTGGCTTTCCGGGACGGATTTTAGTAAGCCCTCTGCTCCGTCGAACCCTGGGAAGCCAGAGTACTGGGGATCTTGGAGGCCAAGGCTTTGGGGTTGAGGGACATGGTTTGGTCCTCTGGCTTTTGGCTTTTTACGGGGAATAGAAGGGTCCATCTGTGCAGTCTGTAAGAGTTCCCTCTTTTCTGGACTCTTTTTATTCTGGCGTTGAGACTGTCAGGTTAATTCACACAGCCGTGACCTTCATCCCTTCCCCAAGAATAAGAGAACCTGAAGGAATACTGAGTCCCCATCTGCTGTTCTCTTGAGCAAGTGTACAAAGCGCCAGAAATAGAGCTGCATGGTCCTCGGCTGAGCCCAGCCCCTGCAGCAGTCAGCACTTTCCGTCCTCCTAAACCCCAGACCCAACCATTCGCCTGAGCTTCTGTTAAAGGTACTAGGTTGCCTTCAAAGCCCTCTTTCTCTATCCCCTTTCTCCCAGTGTGGTCACCTCTCGACTCTAACTCGTTTACTCTGCTGCCCTCTATCGGCCAGAAGAGGCAAGGCGTGCCCTGTGCCTAGCCAACTACAGAACCTACCTGGGAACCTAGGGGCGAGGGGGCGGCATTAACACAAAGCCACTTAAGTCTCTACCCTCCATTCCCTTGGGTGGGGACCCTCAATGCTAGGAAAACATACGGCCCTGAGAAGGCCTCTGAGAGCCAATCTCAGGACACCATAACATGGAAAAGGAGGCTAAGCCCTAAAGTAGAAAAGGGTCTTTACCAAGGACGCATGGAGAGAGAACTAGTCAACCTCCGCTTCTCACCTTTGAAAAGTCTCGCCTCATATCTCATGGCCTCTAGCCTGCCCTTCCCAGTCAGCAATAGGCGTGACACTTAGAAACCTCAGCCCCTGAACAGTGTGGCTAGGTCTCAGCCTTTGAGGTAGAAGGAAGCTGCTTGTCTGGGCCAGGATGTAGGAAACTCAGGGAAACTAGACTTTTTTTGTACACTCATCACCTTGTACCCACAGGCCAGGATGCTGCTTGGGGCGTCTCTGGTGGGGGTACTGCTATTCTCCCAGCTGGTGCTGAAACTCCCCTGGACCCAGGTGGGGTTCTCTCTGCTGCTCCTTTACCTGGGGTCTGGCGGCTGGCGCTTCCTCCGGATCTTTTTCAAGACCATCAGACGCGACATCTTGTGAGTACCTGGTCCAGGCGCTTCCTGGAGTACCCCTTGCTATATCAGCCTCTCATGCTTTAAGTCTTCCCAGACCAGGTCTTGTGACCTTCACACAAGGTATGGGGGTCCCAGAGGAGGAATCCCTGCCCCGTACCTGGACACTACCTGGGTCAGTGTCCAAGGTCAATGTCTCCTCTTGGGGAATTGCCCTAACTTGAGTTTCTTAGTCTGAAACAGTCTTGACACCATCAGACAGCCATGTGTGCTGCAGGGGACCTGCAGGAGGTCTCAAGGACACCCTGTAGTTTGTGGAGGATGAAGAGGATTCCCAGTGAGAAAGGTCCTGCCCCTCAGGTTGGCATGAATCTGAAAGGGCCCAGGGATACTGGAAATCCTAAAGAAGACCTTAAGTCAGGTGTCCAAGACAGCCTGCTACCAAAGCTGTCATAGATCACAGGGGCATCTGCTGCTAGAAGCACCTGCTGTCCTCATCTCTGTGCCAGACACCCCATTGGGCTCTGGGGCCCAGAGAGGAACAACACAGGTTTGCTCCTATGGTCAGATTCCCACTGGTCTTATCAAAGAGATAAGGAGACACAATAAACCTCTAAAATGGCAGGGTCATACAGGCAGAGCCGCCGGTAGCCTTGCTCACCCCTGGGATCCAGCGCCTAGCACTGGTCCCTGCTTACACCCACTGGCTCAGCGTTGTCTGAATTGATTATAGAATGGGACACCACAATAGGAAGGGTGGTCAGAGCAGTAAGGTTGTGTAGCAAAGCAAGGAGAGATCACACTAGACCAAGGGAATGAGGAAGCAGTGTCTCCTAGAGGAAAAGTCCTTGAGCCTTGACAATGGTGGATGAAGCAGCATCAGCAGTGGCACAGAGTTCAGAGAACTGAAGGCATTTCGGCTTAGAAAGTGCGGGTGGAGTGGGCAGGAAAGTTAACATTGCCAAATGATGCCACAAGCGCTTACTGAACATCTATTCGGAGTCAGCACCAAACAGGATTTAGGGTACAGGTAGAGGTTGAACAGCATATTCACCCTTTACATACTATGGTGAAGAGGAGAGCGGGAAGCTCTGTTAGATGGGCTCCATATGTGGTGTTTGGAACCTGAGAAGCGCTTGACAGAGCAATAGTTTGAACTCAGGAAACCAGAGACACCTGGGATTCAAATACTTGCTTGGCCACATCTCGTCTGTGAAGCCCTGGGCAAGCCACTGCACTGTCTGAGCCTCAGTTTCCTTGGGTATATAGGTTAAAGGGTAATTGTCCCAGTCTCTCAGCATTACTGTAAGGCATTGTTAAGATGGGGCCCATAGAAGGCTTTATCCAGTGCCTGGCATCTAGTTGTTAAGTGCCATTGAGTTGAGTACAACTCAGACAACCCTTTGAAGGTCAGATCTGATCTGAACCCTGCCCTATCCTGTGCCATCCTCATCATTTCTGCCACACTAGAACCCACTATTACAGTCATGGTGTCAATCTACCTTATCAAGGATCTTCCCTTCCTTCACTGACCCTCCACTTCTCTGAGCATGATGTCTTTGTGCAAGGACTGGCCCCTCCTAACATGCCCAAAGTGTCTGAGACAAAGCAAGGTGGCATCTAGTAGGTACTTGGAAAGAGGAATGTTATAGCTGATCTGAATTGGTGGGTCTCAGGTTGGCTCACCAGGCAGACATGGCTTCCTTGTTTCCACATAGTGGCGGCATGGTACTCCTGAGGGTGAAGGCAAAGGTGCGGCGGTACCTGCGGGAGAAGCGGACTGTGCCCATCTTGTTTGCCTTTACGGTACAGCGCCACCCCAACAAGACTGCCCTGATTTTTGAGGGCACGGATACTCACTGGACCTTCAAACAGCTGGATGACTACTCAAGCAGCTTAGCCAACTTCCTGCAGGCCCAAGGCCTGGCCTCAGGTGATGTGGCTGCCTTATTCATGGAGAACCGCAACGAGTTTGTGGGCCTGTGGCTGGGCATGGCCAAGCTGGGCGTGGAGGCAGCACTTATCAACACCAACCTCCGGCGGGATGCCCTGTGCCACTGCCTGACCACGTCACGGGCAAAGGTCCTCATCTTTGGCAGTGAGATGGCTGCAGGTGAGCCTAGGGGGTGAGTGATTGAGTGGAGGGCAGATGCATTGTCCCAAGGGACCTTACACAGGCCACAGTTCCCATCTGGGGACTCAGTGATTGAGGGCACACGCCTTGGGGTCAAACCACATGGACTGACTCCCCTTGTAAGCTATTGTGTGGACCATCAAGTCAGAACTTACCCACAGCCAATGCTCCAGTGGGTTTTCAGAGACCATTAATCTTTCTCCCACAAAGCAGCTGGTGGATTCAAACCATGTACCTTTGGGTTGGCAGCGCAGTGCCTTACCACTAAGCCACCAGGGCTCCTGGAAGTCTTGAATTTTCAGTGCCTTCATTTTCTCAGTTGTTACACCACCCCCTTACTATTTTCAAAAGCTACTTCCTCTAAAGCTCTTACACAGGTGTGATGATAAACATTCTTGTGACTAATGAAGCCTCACTTGCCTCATGTATAAGCTACCCTGGTGGTGCAATGGAGTGAGCATGTGGTTGCTAACAGGTCATTGGTTCAGGTCCACTAGCCTCTCCAAAGGAGAAAGATGAGGCAATTTTCTTTCATAAAGATGTACAACCTTGGAAACCCGATGGGGCAGTTAGACTCTGCCTGATGGGATCTCCGTGACTCACTCAGCTCAGCAGCAGTAGCCTTGGTTTGCCTCATCTATAAAATCAGAATGTGAACCCATTGCCTGAGCGCCTCACAGTCTGTGTTTTGACAGGATGCTGAGCTCAGCTCGCTGAGTGGCAGCTTTAATCTTCAGAGATCTGGAGAGGCTGGGATTGGCATCTAGTTTTATGGATGAGGAGACAGGTTCAGTGGGTTTAAGGAATCCACCTAAGATCACTCAGTCAGTAAATGGTGGAAGTTGGATTTGGTCTTTTTAAAAAAACCAAACTGGAGAACGCTCTGGTGACCTAATGATAAGGAGTTGGGCTGCCAACCCAGTTCAAATCCATCAGCGGCTTCATGGGAGTTTCTACACACTTGTTCACTGACAGTCATTACATTTCCATGATCATGAACATTCTCATTACTTCCTGTTGGTTTGCACCATATCTAGTCATCTCATTGCCAGGCCTTCCATAACGTTTCCTTTGTGTTTTAAATCTTGACCTTTCAGTCTCACATAGATGATTTTGTGAAGTATAGTTCTCATGGGCAGCAGTGTTCATGAGCAGTATTCTTTGTGAGCCAATCTGCCATTTGATTACAAATTGATTTTAGCAGATAATTGGTTCAAGGTTTAGAATATCTCGGAATGGTTTCAGGGAGTTATCTAGTCTCAACTCTTTTTGTAAAGTTCAGATTTTTAAAAATTTTAGGTTCTTTTCCACACATTTTTTAAATCAATCTTGAGTGTGACCACACTGTTCTTTCTCCATATACTGGTGTGGTGGCAAAGCAACATACAGCGGAAGTTGCTCAGATGCTAAAGGGGAGAAAGGAAGAGGTATTAAGAAGACAGGTAGAAGCCAGAGGAAGTGCATTTGGGTAGGTTAGGGCTGGCCTGTTTCCAGCGAAGACAAACATCTGTGTATGGGGAAGTCTGAGAGGGGTTCTTGCTCTCCGAAAGGACTCAAAGACCACCAGTGCCCTCTCTTTCCTTCCAGCCAGATCCGATAGTATAATGTGGCAGAGGTGAACTTAGACCAGGGTATGAGGCGAAGCTGATTTTGAACTTTAAGCCTAGCACACTCCAGCTGTGAACCCTCCCTTTCTGTTCTTAGAACCTCCTTTCTTTATCTGTAGAATGAGCTGTTTTTTATTCATATCTACTTCTTAAGGTTTAGGGAACTCCGATGGTGTCACTGTAGCGAATCACACTGGTAACCCAACATCAGTCACTGTCAGTTCAGATACTCTAGGTGCTCATAGAAAGAATGATGAGCAGTCCCCTCCAATGATGGCGTACAGCCTCAGAGACTCAATGGAGAGTCATTGAGTCAAAATGACTCTATGGCAGTGAGTGTGAGTGCTCGGGTTATGTTGGAGATACATGTAGGAGTCTGTAGGAGAATGCATTTAAGAAGTCAATGATGTAGTTAACACAAAGCTAATGAGAGCTCTCTCTCTTTAGTCAGCATCTTTTTTCTGTTACCATGACATCCCAGATGCCTTACCACATCTCTCAAAGTGGCCTCCTATCGCACACCTGAATCACTCTTCCTGACACCTTATCCACTCTGACATGGACACAGGTCCTGGGAACATGGATCTTTCTGACTCACCTGCTGAGCTACCTTCTTGTGCACTGACCAGTGCTGTCTCCCCATAGCTGTCTCTGAGATGCACACCAGCCTGGACCCCTCGATGAGTCTCTTCTGCTCTGGCCCATGGGAGCCCAGTGAAGTACCTGCTGGCACAAAGCACTTGGACCCCCTGCTGGAAGATGCCCCCAAGCACCTGCCCAGTGTTCCTGACAAGGGTTTCACAGGTTTGTCCCCAGCCCTCATCCATTGACTCTAAGATAATTTGAGAGCCAAGCACTGGCCTTAGGGCCACAGGCCTGGGTTCTGAGAACATGACATATGACCTACAACAAATCATTTCACCTTCCCGGGCCTCTGTTTTCCTGTCTGGAAAATGGGGACAGTAATCCTGAGACACTCCAGATTAATATGAGGGTTAGATGAGATGATGTGTAAAGCAGCCTCCAATGGTATCAAGCTCACAAGAGCTCACAAAGTACACTTTTTTAGTTTGTTTGTTTATTGAAAAAAACACTCATTAATGCCTAATGAAGGAACTCTGATGGCCTAGTGGTAAAGAGTTGAGCTGCCAACCCAAAGGCATGCTGTTAGAATCTACCAGCTGATTCACAGGAGAAAGATGGACAGTCTCCTTTTATACAGCTTATAACCTCTAAAAACCAGCTGGAGAGTCAACTTTGAGTTGGTTCCAACTTAACAGTACATAACCACAATAGTGCCTAATGTGAGGAGGATGTGGGAACCTGGTGCTCTTCGCATTTTCCCTGGGCTTTGGGGGACAAAGGACAGTTCTTCAGCTGCTGCTCATCACAAGTTTTTGTTGGGTCTCCAGCTCTGATCCTGTCTCTGCAGGCTGCCTTTTTCTTCCCCTTCTCCAGGAAGCTTCCCTGACCCTCTTTTGGCTCTTCCTCCACACCTCAGTCTGCCTTGGACTCCCCCCTTTCCCACACCTTCCTTCCTTGGAAAGCCACACAGCTTCAACAAGAACTCTCCAACAAGAGCCGAGTTCAGATCCCCACCTTTACTGTTTCCTTTGTGATGCCTCAGGCACCTAGCTTGCCCCGAGTTGAGCTTCTTGCAGCCATAAAAGCAGGGATAGTAATAGAACCTATTTTATAGAATGGCTTTGAAAATTGAAAAGATTACAGTGAGTGAAGTCCTAAGTTAGGGTGTAGCAGGAAGTGTTCCGTAACTGGTCATTATTGCTTAACTTCCCCTTTGTGCACATTGTAAGGAGCCCTGGTGGTGCAGTTTATAATCCACTAGACTGGCTGCTAACTGAAAGGTCAGTAGTATGAACCCACCAGCTGCTCTATGGAAGAAAGATGAGCAGTTTCTCTCATAAAGATTTACAGCCTCACAAACCCAATGGAAGGTCGCTATGCATCAGAACCAACCAATGGCAATGGGTTTGAGTTTGGTTTTTATACATGTCCTGCCTCCTCAGTATTTGGGCTTTTTCAAAATTGAGAAAGCATGCATAACAAGATACACTCCATCTCTACAACTTCTGCGTGTACAGTTCAGCAGCTTTGATTTACACTCCAGTCGTGCAACCATTCTCCCTATCCTTTTCCCCACTTCTGGTCCTTTTCCAAATTATTTCCACCATCATTACTATCAACTCGATGGTAGTAAGCAAGAACTCCTCCTTCTTCCACCCCTTAGTTGTTGCTGTTAGACACCATTGAGTTGATTTCAACTCATAGTGACCCCATGTGACAGAGTCAGGTTTCCTGAGCTGCAAGGGATGAGTCAGGATAGACAGAAGATGATCTTTCCCAGAAGGGGTTTTGGAGGTGCAGTGATGGCTGCTAACTAAAGGGTTGACTGTTCTAAGCTACCTGTCACTTTGTGGGAAGAAGAGGTGATAGTCTGATTCCATAAAGATTATAGGCCTGGGAGAGGAAACCCTGTGGGGCAGTTTGCTTTGTCCTGTGGGGTCACTCCAACTCAGTATTGACTTGATAGCAGCAACAGGTGTTTTATCTGTTGTTTTTTATCTTTTATCAGATGACTAGATCTTTCTCCTGCAGAGCCACTGAATAGGCTCCACGGCCCAACCATTTGGTTAACAGCTGAGTACATTACCAATGCTTCTTCCACAGAGTAACTGTGAATAGTTTTGATTTCTATGTATTTGCAGTGATCCAAAGTGGTGCAGTGGTTAAGCACTTGGCCAAAACCAAAATCTTAACAGTTTGGGCTCCCCAGCTGCTGGAGAAAGATGTGACAGTCTGCTTCTAGAAAGATTGACAGCCTTGGAAAACCTCCGGGGCACCTCATCCTTGCCCTGTAGGGCTTTTGGGAGTTGGGAGTATATGTATTTGATATTTCATGTAATTGAGAGACACTACAGCTTCTGGTTTATTTTGTGACTGACTAACTTCACACAATGTGATTTCAGTGTTCCTCTGTGTTTTGATAGTATTTATTTCATTTCTCTTTTTGGCTGAGTGATATCCTTGGTGCTTTTATAAGCCACTTGAGGACAGAGACTGGCTGATTCACCTGGGTGACCTCCTGGGTCCCAACCCAGAGTTTGCATTCAGAAGGTATGAGATGGTTAATGTAGGATATATGGAGTCATCATACTTCAGAGTTCTTGACCTCCAGGAGTCTAGTCTGGTCAGACCAGTCTTGTACAAAAACTCTTTTTTTTTATTATTATTTTGTGTGCGTGTACCGTCAAATCAGATCTGACTGGTACAGGAGGATATTGCGCCTCCTTCTCCGGCAGAGCATCTGGTGGATTCGAACCGTGTTCCTCTGGGATTTGTACAAAAACTCTTGTTAGTCCTAGGACTGCTGTGATAAATTACCACAACCAAGTGGTCTTACAAGAATAGAAATTATGCACACCCAGGTTTATTGCTGCTTTTTTCACAACAAACAAATGGATAGAGAAGCTGTAGTATATTCACACAATGGAATATTATACAGCACTGGAAAACAAAGAACTCATGAAATATTATACAAAATGGGTGACCATGAAGGACATTATGCTGAGTGAAATATCTCAGTCACAGAAAGACAAATACTTTATAATGCCACGGTTATAGAATAGGACTGATACGGGGATTGGGGGGAAACTAAGAAAAGAGTAGATAAATAGTGTACACGGCATTGAAACAGATGAGGGAGAAAACCGTATACAAGGAATATATGATTAGGTATTATTGGCTTCACAAGAATCCAGAATAAGAGCTGCATAGTAAAGTGGTCCGGGGTGGGGGTGGGGGTGGGGTGGGGACTGCATAACAATGAAAGAACTTTTTTCCCAAAGAAAAAAGTGAACTGGAGAGGGGAGGAAAATGTACAACAATGAATGAATGGAAATCCAAGTTCTTTATAAACTTTCATTAAAATATAAAAAAAAAGAAAAGAAATTTATTTTCTTGTAACTCTGGAGGCAAGAAGTCAGAAATCAAGACGTCGTCAGAGTTGCATTCACTGTAAAGGCTCTAGACGAGGATCTTTCCATGTTTCCAGCTTCTGGTTGTTGCTGACAATTCCCAGCATTCCTCAGCTGTGGAAGCACCACTCTAATCTCTGCCCCCATCTTCACATAGCCCTGTCCCGCTCTGTGTCTGTGCCTATATTTCCCTCTTGTAAAAACATCAGGAGTGCTGGTGGTGCAGTGATTAAGCACTTGGCTGTTAACTAAAAGGTTTACTGAACATACCAGCTACCCCATGGTAGAAAGTTTCTGTAAAGGTTACAGCCTTGGAGACTCTCTGGGCCAGTCCACGCCATCCTGTAGGGTCACTGAGTCAGTGGAAAAGGACAACAATCATTAGGGGAGGGCCCACTTGAATATAACTTGACCTCTTCTTAGCTTGACTAAGGAGGTCTGGTGGAGTAGTATGCGGCATGTTAGGCTGCTAACCAAAAGGTTGCCAGTTCCAACCACCAGCCCTTCTGTGGGGAAAGACTGGCCATTTCCTCCTGTCGAGAGTGAGGGTCACTGGAGTCAGACCCAGTCATCTGGACAGCTGTGGATTTGGTTTGGGGTTTACTTGATTTACATCTGTAAAGGTCTGCTTCCAAATAAGGATGCTGTCAGAGCTCCCAGAAGGGCCTAATTTGGAAGAACACTAGCACAAACCATAGAGGGAGCTCTGGTGGCATAGGCTGGAATGAATTGTGCTGCTAAACCAAAGGCTGTGAGTCTCTTGTGGTTTAAATGGTGAAGTGGTTCCTCAGGAGAAAGATAGGCAGTGTCTTCCCGTTATGATGAAAACCCAATAGAAGGTCACTGTGAACCGGAACCGACTCGACAGGCAGTGCGTGAGTGCAGCCTGTAACGTGGCTGTTCTTGGCAGAAGGATGGGATGAACACATGGTCAGTGGTAGAGAAGCTGCCCAAGCTCTGCCGCTATATGGAATATCCCACTCCTTGTAGCTGAGGGCTGCCCACGCTCTAAGACTTGGCATTGGCATCACCTCTTTCTGGAAGCTCACCCTGGTGCCAGCTCCTCTCCCACAAGCCTGGGTCAGATACCTCCACTCTGTTTTGACAGGCCATAGTGCTCCCCACCTGCATCTAATTTTGTGCTCACTGTTGGAACAGCCTGGGTTCTTGCCTGACCGTCTGGCTCAGTCATGACTTCCTTGAGGGCAGAGACCATCCCCAGCTTAGTATCTGGAGTCATCAACGTAGACTTCATGTAAGGGTGATGGAAGCAGGTGTTGAAGGATGCACACAAAAAGGCCTATCTGTCTGATGTCCAATTCTTTTCCTAGTCCTGTGCTAGGCAAGGTGAGGAAGCTGTGCTGCCCTATCTCATAGCTGTCGTGTCTCTCCTATTTATCAGATAAACTCTTCTACATCTACACGTCGGGCACCACTGGGATGCCCAAAGCTGCCATTGTGGTGCACAGCAGGTAAGGGGCCAGTACCCGGTGGGTGAGTTAGCCCGTGAGCTACCCCTGCTTTCTAGGCATTCACCAAGCCCTCCGCCCTCTTTCCCCCCAGGTATTACCGTATGGCTGCTTTGGTATACTACGGATTCCGCATGCGGCCAGATGACATTGTCTACGACTGCCTCCCCCTCTATCATTCTGCAGGTAATCCAGGCCCAGCCCTTTCAGTCCCTAGGAACCCCCTATCCAGTTCCACAGGAGCCTCACCTCCCCACTGTTAGCATGTCTTAGTGGAAACACAGGAGCTTAGAATCATATCTGGGCTCAGATACAGACCCACATGCAAAGGACAGAAATGCAGAGCCATTGAGCCTCTTTTTCTGTTAAAGGAGGAATACCACAGCAGCTTCGGGGGTTGGGGGGTAGTAGTGCCCCAGGGGGAGCCCAAGCAAGTCCCACACTTAGCTCATTCCACAGATGTGCACAGCTTTGCTGCCTATTTCAGGGGCTTGAGGTTGAGGTGCTGTACCAGAAATGTAATTCCTACCATCAGGGTACTTAGAGTCAAGAGAATGAGTTTAGGGCAGGGTGAATGAAGGGACCCACCTAATTGTAACATAGAAAATGGCACAGTGAATGTGGTTGAGGGCAGGGAGCAAAAGGCCCCACACAATGATGGAGCCCCAGCATCCTGGAGGAGGTGTGCCCACACTCGGCAGACATGGAATCAGTTCTGATTGAATGGCAGTGCTGTGGCCATGGGAGCAGGGCCATCCAGAGGCACTCGGGGCAGTCTCAGGAGTGTGCCCTCAACCTCATTGGCACTGGGGAGTCTTGTAAAGTGTTGGAGAAGGTGTGGCTTGTGATCTGTCTGTGTAGGAGGGACAGGATAGAAAAGGGAGAGGCAGAGGAAAGGGCTTGTCGAGAGGTGCGGCAAGAGGAGGCTCCAGATGGAACAGTCTCCCATCTCCCCAACCTCTAAGCACCACCTCTGCCTTCAGGAAACATTGTGGGAGTAGGGCAGTGTTTGCTCCACGGCATGACAGTGGTGATCCGGAAGAAGTTCTCAGCATCCCGGTTCTGGGACGATTGTATCAAGTACAACTGTACGGTGAGTGAGAAGAGGAGGGGATGAGCTGTTCCTGTTACCCTCCCACTAGCCGCGCTTTGTGCATGTTTGTCTCGTAACTGAGGTGGCCACTCTGATGGGCTTCAGAGCATTCACTTTGCTCAAATGAGGACACAGAGCCAGAGAGGGAATGCCAGTGCCTGGGGGAGAAGGGCTATTTGGCTTTGGGGATTGTGAATCCTCGGGGGCCTGTAATCACACTAAGACCACCCTCAGATTGTGCAGTACATCGGTGAGCTGTGCCGATACCTCCTCAACCAGCCAGCCCGAGAAGCTGAAAACAAGCACAAGGTGCGAATGGCTATAGGCAATGGCCTTCGGCAGTCCATCTGGACCAGCTTCTCCAGCCGCTTCAACATCCCCCAAGTGGCCGAGTTCTATGGGGCCACCGAGTGCAACTGCAGCCTGGGCAACTTTGACAGCCAGGTGAGCCCAGGAGGGGTGTGGGCAGGGCTACCGCATGGCTGCCTCATGGAAAGACCAGGACAGAGTGCCCCAGCCCCGATTCAAGTCCACGCCTTGACCTTTTAGGTGGGAGCTTGTGGCTTCAACAGTCGCATCCTGTCCTTCGTGTATCCCATCCGGCTGGTGCGTGTCAATGAGGACACCATGGAACTGATTCGGGGGCCCGACGGCGTCTGCATTCCCTGCCAGCCAGGTATTCATGAAACTAGAGCTAGGATCAGAGAGTGAGTTAGCCTAGGAGGAAGATGGAACATATGTGGGTAGAGAGGGAGCCCCGCTCTGTACAGTGGCCATCTGCCATAAAAGTGCCTTAAAAGTCACCTCTTTTCATGCCACATACTATTAATTATTTATCCATTATGACATCGACCCACCTGTCCATTCATTTCTTTTCATGTTGGTTTGAGAGGATTCTGGCCACCTGGACTCATCCTCGATCAGCCTCTTAGCTCTGTGATGTGGACACGTTACTCATTCTCTGGACCTGGGTTTGCTTATTGACAGAGGGGACTAAAGCAGTACCTCCTTCAGCATAGTGACCTGAGGATTACAGAAAGCTCTCTGAGTAGCACCTGGCACAGAGAAAAGCTCAGGAGCATCAGTTTTGGTCAGGCTGTCCACAAAGAGCTGACCTCATATTTGTCTCCTTGCTCATCTCCTTGGCCATTCAGAGAACAAACATTACTCAGTATCTGTGGGCACCAGATGTGCCAGAGTGAGCTCTCTGAAAGCAGGGGGAGCAGGGCCATGGGCCATTTCCATGGGAAACTGTCACAAAGTCAGATGAGAGCACAAGTGCAACAAAGGTGGAGGTAGCCTGTGGAAGAGGCATCTGGAATGGGCCTAATTTGTGTCCATTTAACCTGGCCTCAGGTGAGCCTGGACAACTGGTGGGCCGCATCATCCAGAAGGATCCCTTGCGCCGCTTCGATGGCTACCTCAACCAGGGTGCCAACAACAAGAAAATTGCCAAGGATGTCTTCAAAAAGGGGGACCAGGCCTACCTCACAGGTAGGTGGTCTCTCTTCACAGCCCCTTTATCCCTGCTTAGCAGCCCCTCCTAGGAAAGGAAGGGATTGAGGGGATGTCCCCTACCTTTAGAGAAGGCCTGAGGACTTCCCCAGGCTCAGTCTTTATGGTAAAAGATTGTTGAGATCCACCAAAGAGAGCCTGGAGTAGGCCCCCGCGCCCAGAGCTGGGGTACGTGAACCCTGCCTCACTCTGCTCTTCCCTAGGCGATGTGCTAGTGATGGACGAGCTGGGCTACCTGTACTTCCGGGATCGCACAGGGGACACATTCCGCTGGAAAGGGGAAAACGTGTCCACAACAGAGGTGGAAGGTACACTCAGCCGCCTGCTGGACATGGCCGACGTGGCAGTGTATGGCGTTGAAGTGCCAGGTGTGTGTGTGAAGGTGGCAGGGGGAAGGGTACATGTGAAGAGGCACCACCAGGGGAGCCACCAGCCACTCACTGGCTTCCCATCTGCCCCCAGGAACAGAGGGCCGAGCTGGCATGGCTGCTATCGCCAGCCCGACAAGTAGCTGTGACCTGGAGCACTTTGCAAAATCCCTGGAGAAGGAGCTGCCCCTGTATGCCCGCCCCATCTTCCTGCGCTTCCTGCACGAACTGCACAAGACAGGTGTGTCCCCAGACTCATTCACCCACCTCTTAGATTCCAGACCCCAGCCCTTTCCTGTTTCCTTCTTCTAGAGACACCTGGGTGTCTGTCATTTGACCTTTACCCCATAACCCTGCTGGGTTGTTGAGACACTGATTCCTCAGTGTACAGGAATGAGCAGTCTGGGCGGTTCATTAGTGGGACAGATATTCATTGAGCAGCAACTATGTGTTAGGCCTTGAGGTTGCTGAAAACAAATTCTGCCAGGAGTCTTGGCCTCTTGGAGCCCCTAGAGCAGTGAAGGAGGCAGGCATAGGGTAAGCAGTGCCCCAGGTGAGGTGTGGAATACAGAAGATCAGGCTTTGCGAAAAGTGGATCACAGCCAGCTACTGAGAGGCTCCTATACAATGTTCAAACTAAGGCTTGAATGAAAGACTGTCTGAGAGTGGGAGGCTTTCCAGGCTGAGGGAACAACAAGCATGAAGTCCCAAGGCAAGAAAGAGCTTGGGTGCTGGAGGAATGAATGAGACTTGAGGTTAGTACAGAGTGAGGGGTCGGCAGGAGAGTCAGGTAGGGCAGAGAGGCTAGTATGGGCCAGAACCCAGGACCCCAGGAGCAGCAGGGAACTACACAGGTGTTTGAGTAGGGCAGGAACCTGACCTTACTCATGTTCTGCAAAGCTTTTGGCTGCTAGGTGGACAGTAGGTGAGGACCATGCAGGAAGATAAGTGAAGGGACTTCTGCAACTGCCTACTGTCAGCCAGCAGAGCATTTCTAGCCTATCTATTGGTCTGCTTATGGCTCAGGAGCTCTCCAGTTGTTTGGAAAGACTAATCCTGGTGCCCTGTCCTTCCCCGCCTCTCCTCTGGCCATCCCTTCCTTCCCTCTTTTAATGATCAGTCTTTCCTTGGCTGCTCAGCCTTGAGCCACATCTGCCTGTTGCTTCCCATGTGGTCATCAAGCCAACTTCTAGCCCTTAATGAAAGGCCTACTGCCATGGCTGGTGTGGCCCTACAACTCTGGGAATAAGTGAAGAGAAGGTCTTGGGTTCCATTGTAGCACCAGGAGACACTAGTACTGAACTCATGACTGATACTGCCAGCTCCCTGAGAATCAGACAGTGCCTGTGACTTCTCTGGCCAGGAAAGCCAGGGTTTAAGATAGACCTTACTTAAGAACAAGCCATCCAAAACTTTATTTGCTTATGATTATGTGGAACAACCATTTTTAGGCAGAATTCAGCCTAGCAGTTCTTCTCTTTGTCTTGCCAAGAAGTCAGTCAGAAATCAGTCATGTGGTGGCTCAAACAGCTTAGTGGTCTCAGACACCTCTCGTACTTGCCTCAGCCCAGCTGGTTGGTTTTACTGTGCTGTTTGACAGAACATTTTGCAGTGGTGGACACGCTGCATATCTACATCCAACATGGTAACTGACACTAGCTCTGCATGGCTAGTGAGCTCTCAGAGTGTGGCTAATGTGACTGAAAACTACATTTTAAGTTTTATTTAATATTAATTTTAATTTAGAAATGCTCACTGCTGCTTCTCCCTCCCAGAGTTTTTCAGTGAAAGCTTCATATCCATGTTATGTCTACCATATGGCAAATGGCCATCATATGAACAGCACATGTGTATGGGGGTCTCAGTTGGAATGGTTCATCACTGCTTCATACAGTTTCTCTCATCTTTAGAGGGCTGGACTCTTCTCAAGGCACCCCCAAGAGGGGATGAAGGAAGCTCAAAGCACCTTGAGGCCTAGACATATCTAGAACTCCCACAGTATGCCTTTTGCTGGCCAAAGCAAGTTATAAGGCCAGTTCAATAGAGGTTGTTGTTTTTGGGTACCACTGAGTCAACTACGACTCATAGCGACCTTATGAACAACAGTTCTGAAATTCACCCTATCATGAACCATCCTCATGATCTCTTATATGGTCGAACCCATTGTTACAGTCACTGTGTCAATCCATCTCTGTGAAGGTCTTCCTCTCTTTCTCTGACCCTTCACCTTCCCCAGCATGGTTGCACTTCGTCCAAGACAGATTTGTTCATTCATTTTTCTGGCAGTCCATGTCTTGGCTCGGGCACACATTAAACTGACATCATTGCTCTTTAGCACTTTGGAGAGGACCTGGACAGTAGATATTCCAATACAGTAAATGTTTTGATTTCTTGACTACTGTTGCCTTAAGTGTTAATTATGGATCCAATAAAATGAAATTTTTGGAAACTTTAATCTTTTTTTTCCAGTCTACCATGATGTTGCCTATTGGTCCAGTGGTGAGAATTTTCTTCATACTGAGATGTAATCCATACTGAAGACAGTAGTCTTTAATCTTCTGCAGGAAAAGTTTTAAGTCCTATTTATTTTCAGCAAGCAAGGTTGTGTCATCTGCATAGTAGAAGTTGTTGATTAGTCTTCCTCCAATCTTGATGCCATATTCTTCATGCAGTCGAACTTCTTGACTGGTTTACTCAACGTAAAGATTGAATAGGTATGGAGAAAGAACAGCCCTAACACACCTCTTTCCTGATTTGAAACCATGCAGTGTTCCCTTGTTCTGTTCAGATAACAGCTTCTTGGTCTAGATAAGAGTTTTGCATGAGCACAATTAAGTGTTCTGGGCTTCTCATTCTTATGAATATTATTTGTAATTTGTCAGAAAACATCTTCCCAGTATTCTCTATATTCAGCCAAGATCCACCTAACATCAGCAGTGATATCCCTCATGCTATGGCCTTTTCTGAATCCAGCTTGAATTTCTTGCAGTTCCATGTCAATCTACTCTTCCAGTCATATTTGAATAATCTTTAGCAAGTTTCTGTTTGAGTGTGATAGTAATGATATTTTTTAATAATTTCCACATTTTGTTGGATCACCATTTTTGGAAATGGGACCAAATATGCATCTTTTCCAGTCAGTTTTTCAGGTAGCCGTGTTCTAAATTTTTTAGTATAGACTAATTAACATATCCAGAGCTACATCTGTTTGTTGAAACAGATCATTTGGAATTTCATCAATTCTTGAGGCCTTTATCTTTTGCCAGTGCCTTCAGTGCAGCTTAAACTTCTTCCATTACTATTGTTCTTGGTCATATGCTGCTTCCTGAAATGGATCAGTGACAACCCATTCTTTTTGGTACAATGACTTTATTCCTTACTGCATCATTCAAGATTTTGTCCGTAGCACCCTTCAGTATTGCAACTCAGGGCTTGAATTTGTTCTTCTTTCAGCTTGAGAAATGTTGAGTGTGTTCTTCCTTTTTGAGTGTCTAACTCTGGCTCTTTGTACGTTTCATTATAATTTTTAAGTTGCCCTTTGAAGTCTTCTCTTCACTTCTTTTACTTCAACATATCTTCCTTTTGTTTTGACCTCTCTGTTCTAGTGCAGTTTTCAGTCTCTTCTAACATCTCTTTTGGTCTTTTATTTCTCCTCTATTTTTTTAAAATTTTTTTTCCTTTCTCCCCTGTTTTTGTAATGTCCTTTTTTCTTTCTTCATAGCTGATATCCTTGTTGTCATGGAAGTTGAAGAAAATTAAAACAAGCTCACCAGAACTAAGATAGGATCTTGAGTCTATCCCACTTGATTTAAATACATCTCAAGAATAGATTTGATGCATTGAACACAAATGTTTGAAGACCAAATGAATTGTGAGTTGACATCAAGGACCTCATCCATGAAGGAAGCAAGTGGGGCTTAGAATCCATAAAACACAACTGGGCGGTGCCTTCTGCTTGTTGCTCAGTGGGCAATGAGTTTCACTTTGCCAGATCTCAGTTTCCTCAACTGTAGAATGAGGTTGGAGGGTGACACTGTCTCCCTTCCCAGAGCTACTCATAGAAGCAGTATATAGTGTAATGGACAGAGCATTCTTTTTATTGTTGAAAGATACATAGCAGAACATACACCCACAAATTCTCCTTGTACCATTCAGTTATACTAATTGCATTCTGCAAATTGTTCAGCCTTTCTTTTTCCAAATTATTCTACCCCCATTAAGGTAAATTCAATGCTTTCTAAGCTGCTAGCTCATCTACCTTCTCAAGCTGTTCTTGTCAGAACAATATATGATCCCATAGTTTTTAATTTCTTTTTTTCTTATGAAATATGTATTTTTTTCTGATCATGTTAAAAACATAATTTTTTTAATTTACTTATTTTTGTAGTTCTTTTAAAAAGCATAGTATTCAAGGCAGATATCCTTTACTGATATCCAGTGGCTTAATGGGTAGGAACTTGCACTGCCAGCTCAAAGGCAAGTGGTTCAAATCTACCAGCTGCTCCACTGGAGAAAGATAGGTGGTCTTTTCCTGTGTAATTTACAGCCACTGGAAACCCACTGGAGGTTCAGCTAGGAGTCAGTTGTGACTTGACAGCAATGAATGAGTGATTTATTGTGTTGTTTAACTTTACTTCATGGGACAGTTTTGCTTTAAGATTCAAAGATCATCTCAGGCTAATAGTGTGAAGGCATCCTTGGGTGGAGCATTCTTTAAAAACGTGAAGGGAAATGCCCCCCTCCTCCCTCAGTCCCCTTTTTCTGCTCTCAGGAGCAGCTCTTCCCCCTGACACTGATGGTTGCATTCTTGTTAGTTTGGCCTCTCTCCCTATACCATCTGATGTTCTTCCTCTACTCCCCCAGGGACATACAAGTTCCAGAAGGCAGAGCTCCGAAAGGAAGGCTTTAACCCGACTGTTGTGAAAGACCCACTGTTCTATCTGGACAGTCGCAAGGGCCGCTATGTCCCACTGAACCAAGAAGCCTACACCCGCATCCAGGCAGGCGAAGAGAAGCTGTGACTTGCCCTGCACCCCTCTGAGGGCCAGTGGACGCCGGATCTAGAGCCCCAGCTCCCAGCCTAGAGGGGTCCTGGGTGACGCTAGACCAAAGCAAGCAGGACCCAGCACCTCCACCCCAGGATGCTGACCCCTCCCCTGAAAACTGCCAAGTGACTCACTGCCACCTCCCCCACCCCCACCAGAGGTTTTCTGTGAAAGCCTCATGTCCACGTTACGTCTTGGAAAACAGGAGGGCCCCAGGCCTGGCTGAGACTGACTGGGTTCCCTCAGAATGAGGTCTTGAGTCAGGGCAGGGAGAGGTGGAAGGGTCTCCAGGCTTTCCCCAGAGAGCAGGCACTCATAAGTGGGACCAGGACAGAAGCCCCGGATCCAGGAACCAGCAGGGTGGGCAGGGGCAGCAGTGGCCCCGTTGATCAACTGGGCAAAGGGGCCCAAGCGTCGCTTCTCCAGGAAGCTAGAAGGAAAACCCAGTGTGGCGCCAGCAGACCATCTGTGACAGGAAACCCGACAGGGCACCCCTTCTCTCCTCCACTCATATCCTCTGCCTATGGGTCACTGCCTGGCTGTCTGCCAGGCAGGGCTTTCTGTCTTTGTGGGTCTGTCCTTGTCACTCTTCCTCTCAGTCCTGGCCTGGCCTTGAGAGGAAGATGAATGGGGTAGGAGGCTCAGGGGCCAATAAACTCTGCCTTGACCACCCCCCCCCCCAGCCTGTGTGGACAGCAGCTGAGATCACCCCAACCCCTCAGTCCCTCAGTCTGGTCTTCCAGGTTCTACCTCTGGATCCATTTACTCACTCAGACCCTTGGAATTCTGGCATGTAAGACACTACAGCCTTTGCCCTTGATCTCTCTGACAGGGTAGTTCGCACCTGAGTCCAGTAAGGTGATTAATATTGTGGGCCTGAAAATCCAAAACCATCTCTAGTTTGTAAGCTCCTTCATCATCTGAAGGTGCAGACTTAGAGCAACAGTTCATCTCCAGTCCCTTCTTCTTCTTGTGCTTTGTAGGGTACATGTCCTTAATTGCCTCGGGGCTAGATAGTTTGGCACAAGAGGTTTTGAGGTAGAGTAGGCTCCAGGAACGTTCTTAACAAGTCCTAACAGGGCCACACTGTCAGCAGTGCCAGTTCAGAACAGTTGTCTCAACAGTTGGGAGTCAGTAGACTCAGAAACACAGCTTAATGGGAAGGGGTCCATACAACTCACGACAGAGGACAGCATATGCCCCCACTGCATGCTGAGTGCTTTAGCATCATTATTTAGGCCTTGCCAAGTAAAAGGAAAATCCAGAACTTGGGGATTTTGAGTCACTTGGCCCAGATTACACAACTAGTGCTGGAACTAGAATGCAGGCTCCTACCCAGCTCCAGAGCCTCTCTCTGTGCTTCACCACCCTGCCTCCTGGGAGCAGAAACAACAGGAAAAGCAAGCACACAGCTTCATTCCACCAGCACCATCCATTGCTGGCCACGCCTGAAGCCAGCAGGTGTTTCAGGTGGAAGGCTTCCCAGTGGCAGAGAGCTGTAGAGGGTGTGTCTCCTAGGGGGACTGACCTTTGAAAGGTAGAAGACTGGTGCCTCTCTAGGAGGGAAAGTGGTGAGCAGAGCTGGAATTGGACCTCAGAGGAGATGTGCAATGAAGTTGGGGATAAGCACTGCATGCAGGACTCTAATGTTGGCAGCAGAGGGCGTGCAGGGCTCAGGATCCAGTCCAGACCTTTTGAGCAGAGCCAAGGTAACAGGAAGGAGGAGAGGGGCTGTGAGTCCCCCCTCTCACCCTCAAGCAGGTACCTGCATAAGTCTTTGAGGGTTGGACTTTAAAAGGGCTGGACTTGGCTGAGTGTCCGCCTTTTCTGTCTTTAACCTTCATTAGTGAGTGGGAATGATCTCTCTCCAGGAATGATTCTCAATCCTCAAGATTGAACAGTCACCAAAACGCAATCTGGTGTAGAAGTTCAGAGCTCCAGCTTTGGAATCAGACCAGCCTATGTTTAAATCCCAGGTCTACCGTTTACTAGACTAAGTTTCAGTTTCCTCTCTGGTAAATAAAGTTCTTAGAATCCCTAGCTGGGGTTAACTGTACAAATGCAATGAGATCTTGCATGAAACTTAGCATATGGCCTGCTCGTGACCTCTACTCTACATGTTGATAGAAGGAAGAAAAAGTTATATGAGGATGTCAAAGTAGGCTTTCCTGCACACTTGTGCATAGGACCTCCTTACCCACAAAAAAGTGAACCTGGTTGGCCACTGACCCTTGAAGCTCTCAAGTTTGACTTTGATCCTCTCAAGTTTGACTGTGTGTGAGTCATCTCCATGCATGCAGGAGGTGCCATTAAATGCTTACAAAGTTCATTAACAGCAGCAATAACTGCAGTTTATTGGGCATTTCTTGACAGTTCTGTAGTGTTTCATAGTTTACAGAGCACCGTGGAAGTTCATCTGTTGCCTCAAATGTCCATTCTATGCAGGGAGGGCAGAGGAAGTCAGGGTGAGTTAGAGGCCTCGATTCAGAGCTACTCCCAGGAAGCCAAGTATCCACAAGGGTCATAAGGCTTCTGAGAAAAAAAGGCACAAGATAGGTGTTGAAGTAGGAGCCCTGGTTGCATGATAGTTAGGATCTTGGCTCCAACCAGAGGTTTGTGAGTTCAGATCCACTAACTAGCCAGTCTTTAGGAGGCTGATGTGGCAATGTGCTTCTGTAAAGATTTCTGGCTTTTGAAACCTTATAGGATGGCCCGACTGTGTCCTGACTGAACTGCAGTATCACCTTATAGGATGGCCCGACTGTGTCCTGACTGAACTGCAGTATCACAGCCCTGGCAGGGAGCTGGAGGGAAGAGTGTGTTTAGTGGTCAGGGAGAAATTTTGAGGAAGAATGAGCCAAGAAAAAGAGTGTGGAGAATGTGCAGACAGCATCAAAATGTGAAGGGCCAGCCCAGCAAGTGAAGCTCAGTGAGGCTGTAAGTTTAGTGGACGGACAGGGTTGAGGCAGGAGTAAAGGGTTCATCCTTTGTGGGAACTTCTGTTTTCAAACCTCAGAACAGGTGTTCCATTAGGAAATCCTTGTGTGTAGTCAGACCCACTTGAACTCTCGCTAATGGTCACCAGGAGGTATAAACACGTCCTGAGTGCCAGGCACTGCATGGAGCTTTTCTGTGAATCGTTTCCCTCAATCCAGAACACAAACTAGGTACTATTATCGTAATACCACAGAGAGGAATCTGAAGCTTCCCGTCTTGAGGCTCCATGTTACCCGCAACCTGCCTGCTTCACCCAGGGAGGCTGAAGAAGGGCTTGCCACGAGCGACCCTGGAGGTCCGTCCCACCCTCGGGACAGGCAAATGGCCAAGTGGCCGCCCAGCCCAGTGTTTGGCGTATTACTTTCAACTCCTGGGAAGGTTAAATACCTCCAAGAGGCCCACTGAGGCGGCAGCAGCCAGGAAAGAGGCAGCCAAATGACTTTCAAAGGAGCCTGAATGCGTCGCTGGACCCCTCCCCCTGAGGAGGGGGCCCTGCTTCCTCCCAGCCTAATGATATTCCGGGCTCAGCCTTCAGCTTTGGCGGCAGTTTAACCCAAGCCGGGAGGATTTCTTTCTCACTGATCTCAGCTTGACACCCAATTAGCACAAGAATGGGAGGAGGAAGCCTGTGAGAGGCGCCTCCCAGCCTCCCGGGGAGCAAGAGGGGAGCAGGCGGGCAGACAAAGGGCAGTGGGTAGGGGGGCACCCTCGCCTTTGCCTCCCCTGCCGACCCTGCCATTGTCTCACTAGGAGCTTCAGAGGGGATGGAGGCCGACTCCAGGGCTGTCTGGTCGGCTAGAGGGGACAAGGGATGAGGCCCAAGTGGGTCTCAGGGAAAAGGATTTTGGGTGCGCCTAACCCAACAAGAGGCAGGTGGGTCGCGGGGGCGCTACAAACATTTGGAATTGAGGCCTGACACTAGGGGACCTTGGCATGCCACAAATTCTGAGCCTCAGTTCTCTCATCTGAAAAATGGGAACTACTTTGCTTCATGGTTGGTTATGTGCCATCAAGTCAATTGTGACTCATAGCGATCCCGTGCTCAACAGCTTTGAACTCTGCTCCATCCTGAGCCAATCTCACTGCCTCCAGTATCCCAGTTACTGTGATCGGTCCCATCTCTTTCGGGGTCTTCCTCTTCCGTGCTGTTCTTCCACCCTTCCAAGCATGATATCCTTTTCCAAGAACTGGTCCCTTTTGGCAATATGCCCAAAATATGTGAGACTGGGCTTTACAGTCCTTGCCTCCAAGGGCAACTCAGCTTCACTCTCTCAAGGACAAACCTGTTTGTTCTCTTGGAAATTCATGGTATGCTCAATGCCCTTCTCCAGCACTTCAAGTCTATTCTGTCACGCTTAGTCACTGTCCAGCTCTCTGATGTATAGCAAGTAACTGCAAAGCCCATGGCCCGGATTAGGCGCATATTAGTCTCTAGACTAACATCACTGCTCTGTAGTATTCCGGAGAGGTCCCTGACAACAGATTTTCCCAGTGTGATTTGTCTTTTGATTTCCTCACTGCTGGTGCCAAGGGACCAATGTGGACCCAAACAAGCTGAAATTGTTAATAATCAGTTCAAATCTTCCAGGTGCTCTGAAGGACAATAATGGGCAGTTTCCTCTCATGTAATTAACTGCCTCTGAAAACTCGTAGGAGGATCAACTATAGGTTGGTTCTGACTTGACAGTAAACAATAACAATTTCATGGTACACAACAATTTCACTGAGCTGTGAGGATTAAGGTAATGCATATGAAGCACCTAGCAGATGCAAAGTGGGCATCTAATACATATTCATTGAACATTATATAGTAACTACTATTGTATTAAAGGGTTGGATAGAGTAGATTTGAGGTCAGAAGAAAGGACATTAGGGGAGCTCTGGTGGCCTAGTGGCAAGGAGCTGCAACTACAATCCCAGAGGCACACGGTTTGAATCCACCAGATGCTCTGCCGGGAAAAGGAGGGATAATCTCCTCC